AAAAAAAAAATTGCACATCATGTGACAATACATTGTACACATGCGAAAAGCAAAAGTGTATATTGTTTATATACCCCTTTCTGTTTAATGAAAATGAATTGATTAAATACGAATACTCTACCAAAATTACCAAACCCGTGTTTGAGCCTCATTCTTTAAAAAATTATTTTTCGCCAAACTCATTTTTAACCACACATTCTTCCAATAAAATATTTTAACACGTGAACCCAAATTTTTTCAATATTATTTAACCACATATTCTCCAAAATAATTACTATTACACAATCTATCTCCCAAAAAATGGGACGCAAACAAAGCCTAAGTAAGCACTAACCAGTAACCAAAGCTTTTTAATCATGCAGGAGTGAACACAAGACTTGCACAGCATAGCCACATTGTAATACTGTTACCCATGACTCTAAAAGTTTTACTCCGCGTAAGCAAAATCTCACCTGAAATCATTTTATTTTTTCATGCTATTTAAGAGTTGTCTAAATGTGTACTAAACATGCATGGAGTCTTATCAGTCAAAAAAACGAAAGAAGCCAGAGCACTACTAAAGATAATACAACTGACTATTATTCAGGAAACAGTTCATTCGACCGTGAACAGACAAATTAATATGCCTTTAAGATTAAAGTCACAACATAAGATAAGGAAGAAAATCAAAGTGTGATGAAGCCTTACTTGAGGTTCAATGATCAGGTATAAAGTCTTAATTCCTTGCAGCATCTGAAGTTCACAGTGCTTCTTTTTCACATCATCACATAAATTGGATATTTTGCTTGCTAGAGGAAAAAGTTTTATATGCACATAAATGAAAGAACATGATTGATAATGCACATAAATGAAAGAACATGATTGATAATTCTATATTAGATTAGACTATTAAAAGAACCAAGTCCTTTATCTATGGACAAAGTAATACACATAATTCTGCCACCTATTCTTGGAGGAACTCTGTAATCACGAGTAGATGATATTTGAAATTCATTATGTGAAAGTGGCCTAAGGATTTGATTTTACAATAAATATTATACTATTAAAAGAACCAAGTCCTTTATCTATGGACAAAGTTATACACATAATTATGCCGCCTATTCTTGAAGTAACTCTGTAACCACAAGTAGATGATATTTAAACTTCATTATGTGAAAGTGACCTAAGAATTTGATTTTACAATAAATTCTAGTTCTACTAGCTTTATTGTTACCTTTACAATGTTGCTTGGAATATGAAGAACATGGGTAAATTTTCCTCCTTAATGACTTGTTATTTTTATGGTTGCTTTGTCACTTTGAACTTCACATAGAGGTCGGAAGTCTTCGACTTGGTCCCCCTGCCAAGTGATTTCATCAATATCCAATTGATCCTAAATGATACACTTGTTCTAACTTGATTGGAATATAGCATAAAATATAATTATAATCACAGCAAGGATTATCCTATGCTTTCCACTTTGACAGAACCCAGTTTCAAATTTCTGTAGCTTGACAAAGACTATCAAGATATGTTAAGCCACATGCAATCAACCAAATTACCTGCTTTCGCTTTAAATTGTAAACCAGAAAGACCTACGTGATGTTTAATAGTGAAACTTTACGCCAAATAAATGAATGCAAGTAAGATTCGACATGCCCAAATGGACATTG